CGATAGAATCTTATTCTCTACAGTAAAAACGAAAGTCTTTTCATAAATCAAGTTTCTTAGAAAATTTCACTTCATCACCTAATTCAATCTGCAATTTCCAAAGTTCAGAGAGATCTTTGTTTCTTTTATTCAAACCAAAGATACAATAGGGTATTATTTCTTGTACGAAAAGTTCCTTTCCACTCCATTCTTTTCTTTATGTGTTATAATATTTTCTTGTCTGTCTCTCATATTCAGACTAAACAACTTTAATTTATATCAACTCAGAAAAAACTTTCTTCGTTTCTCACTAATTCTTTCATTTTTTTTCACTCTTGACATTATTTGTTCGTTTTAGTTATGCTCGATATTCCTGCTGATGCGCAATGGTCACAGAAAGGAGTGATTGTTGCTGGACATGTTACTAACCAACTTTTCCTCCCGTATGGTCTTTTCATTGATGACGATAATCAAATGATAGTCATCGCAGACCACGACAATAATTGTATCATGCAATGGAAGATGGACGATCCTAATGGAAAAGTCGTAGCTGGTGGAAAAGGCCAAGGAGATCAATTAGATCAATTGAATGGTCCAACTGACGTATTAATTGATAGAGAGACTGATAGTCTTATTATTTCGGATTCGAAAAATCGACGGATCGTTCGGTGGTCTCGTCGTAATAGAACGGCGCAAGGTGAAATCCTTATTGACAATATCGCTTGTCATGGATTAGCCATGGATGATCAAAGATATCTCTATGTCTCTGACGTTAAAAAACATGAAGTAAGACGGTATCAACTAGGAGGAAACATGAAGAATGGAACTCTCGTAGCTGGTGGAAATGGGAATGGTTCTGATTTGAATCAGCTCGACTTTCCCACCTATATCTTTGTCGATCGACAACAGACTGTCTATGTCTCAGACTTCCACAATCATCGTGTCATGAAATGGAATAAAGATGCAAAAGAAGGCATTATTATTGCTGGAGGTCAAGGTGAAGGAAATGCTCTGACACAAATATCGGATCCTAGCGGTCTCTTCGTTGATGCTTCGGGTACTTTGTATGCAGCTGATCTACGGTATAATCGTATAACACGTTGGCCTCAAGGAGCGGAACAAGGCAATGTCATAGTGGGGGAAGGTGCTGAGTTGATATGGCCCATGGGTGTATCGTTTGATCGTCATGGGAATCACTATGTCGTGGATACAGGAAATGTTCGTGTTCTACGTTTTTCTATTCAATAAAATCTAATAACATCGGAAAAAAAATTCTTTCATTTGAATTCTATTTGCGCACTTGTGGGTGTGAGTGTGATCAGGTGTGGTCTAAGGACTAACATCCGTATCTTCAAGTCGACTATACATTCTTGTCATATTTTGATTCTTGAAGTAGAGTATTTTACTCTTTGTTTTCTCGGATCACTTTCAATTGTATTATTTATCAATGACACTCTTCCATCAATCATTGCTTCTTCTGAATGTGTTGAAAATCTATCTTAGGGATAGTAGTAGTTCTATGAAAAGATTGAAGATAATATAGGTTAACTAAGCAACAAAAAATTGAACACAAAGATGTCGTTAACTCTCATCCTAATCTTAAGCTATCACATGGTGCAAAGCTCGAGGCTTGTACGATCCTCGATTGACTGCTGATGTTATTGGTATCGGCATATGTGTTTCACTGTATACTTTCCACTTATTCTTGAAATTCTCGATTAATCCATTATTGTTTAAATAACTTGCAGCTCCCATTGCGCTCAAGTTACTAAATGAGATATTTATCCATCGACCTACTGATTCTTTTACAATTCTTTTATTTGCTGAAGCCATCTGATTAGTTTCAAAAATGAGTTTCAAAACAAATGAAAGGCAACATGAAATTTGAAGAAAAATTGATTCTACCAGCAGAACTATCATCTAGATTGCAAAGTTTTCTCTTTCTTTTTTAAAAAAAAAGATCTAGTTGCGTAAATGCAGTGGCAAATCGTTTCGTAAATTTTCTTTTGAGTGTAAAAGACTTTTATATTTGCCACTAGAGATCGATCAGGGCGAAAGGAAATGCTTTCTTCAAAAGAGGTCATATCTCTTCTATAGTTGAATTGCTGAAGAGAACTATGTTTCAGGTTTAAATATTTCATACTGAGCCAATCATTTTGATAGAAACATGTAGGTAAATAAGTGAGATGATTATTTGCAAAATCAAGTGTCTCTAAGCCTTCTTACAGCTATGTAAATTTCTGATGGTGTAAATTGAATTACATTTTGGTTGAAAATAAAGTTCTTTGGAAGGTAGGTGCGATTTCCAAGTACATTGATTTCAGAAAGATCTTTGAAAGTAATACCGATCATATCAATTCTCTCAATCCAAGGCACATTCTTTGGTAAACTCTTGAAGCAACAGTTGTACGCAAAAAGATACTGAATACTATAAACGGTTGCTAATTTGTTCAATATCAATTAGAAGATTTTCGCTCATGTTTAGATAATGAAGGAAATTCAACTGTGAAAATTCATTGGATATGGACGTCGACATTTTGCCTTACAAGTAGAGTGAGTTTAAGAGTTTGCGGTTTTTAATAGATGTTGGAAGCTCCTGGAGACCACTATAGGCTAAACCCAGTTTAGACAGCTTCGAAAGATGACTGCTTTCATCTGGAAGATACCACACAAGTGTATTCCGAATATCCAACTTGGTGAGTGATTCAAGACAAGCGATTCGAGATGATAGTTGAACATTGCAAAAATATACAATTCAGTCGCCGAACCGTCAACATTCATAATAGCATAAGTATCTGAAGTATTTTTAGGATTGACTGAAACAGAAAATGGCATCGATTGAAGTATTTCATAGTCATTTTTGAATTGCGAACAATCATCGTTTTTCAACGTTTCTAAAAAGACAGTGAAATATACAAAAGAGCTATCTTTATTTTATTTTGTGCACTAACTTTCGTGAACTGATAAGTCAACATGTCGATTTTCGCTGGGTGAAACGTTAACGACAGCGACAAAGAAAAGATAAAAGATATTTCTCATGTTGGTATGTAGTGATTTGGTTTTCTTCTGTGTGTATGCTTTTTATTAACCAGCTGCTGAAGAAAATGCTACCAGTTGACAGAAAAATACTGCGTAATGTAAACTCAATAATTCTTCGTCGTTTCATTTCAACATTGTTTGAAGCAATCAGTATTTCTTCGTACTATGCAATTAATGATCTTTTTCATTTATCAATAGATTTCAAGATACATAATATCGTATGGTACGCTTTAGTTCGAAAAAAGAAACTTCCATAACAATATGTTTTACATCCGGAATGTGAATTGATAAAAACATGAGTCCAGCGCCTTCTAATTTCTTGCAACGATCTAGTAGAAAAGAAGAAGGCTTATGTGGGTGTAAGTAAACAGAAGACCCAAACTCACACCTACTCTAACATTTTTAATATATTCTACTTTCGATGCTTATTTTCCAACAAATTTGTGGCCGATATCTCTTTAACTTTACATGATCTGAAAAGATTTCATTCAGATAAAGACAGAGTTTCTACAAATTAAAATTATCAATAGGCAATCAGTCCACACTCTCAGAAGTACACTATTAGCTGGTAAAACTGAATGTTTCTTTTTCAAAAGAGAAGTGTATTCTTGAAAAATTTCTTCTGTCATTAGAATAGACGGAAAGTCGAATAATCGTTTCTATTCGCAGATTCAAACAAGATAAGAAAGAAATCGATTGGTTTTACACGTGCATACGAAAACGATACACAAAAATAAATCGTATACAATTTCTTTTAACCACACATTCATAAATGACAAATCACAACTGGAAAGAGAGGTACCCTCAAAATGAGTTCGCTCTTTTCATATAATGCAAAATAACGGTACAAAATATCAACCTCTATAATTTTATTATACATTCATAAACAAAATGATATGAGCAGAACAAGACACATGCGTTCAATGAATCTGTAATTTTCATATTGATTCATTGAATAAATCTTGCAAATCAACTGAAGTATGATACTAAGCTGACAGGAGGTATATAAAGCCTGTTTTGTATTTATGAATAAGATTAGAAATTTCATTTTTTATTAACAACATTTATTTGATGAATCGATATAAAAATTTCATATTCGTTGAACGAGGATTTCTCGTTCTGCTAGTGTTATTTTATTTATGAATGTATAATAAAATTATAAGGGATTGATATTTTGTACCATTATTTTGCATAGCATGAAAAGCATGAACTTATTTTGAGAATGCTACTCTTTCCAGTTGTGATATGTCATTTATGGACGTGTGGTAAAGGGAAGTTATAGACAATTTGAAAGAGGCAATAATTATTTATCTTTTGGTAAAAAAAAAAAGTTTTATTTCAACACCCTTTTGTTGCAGAGTACTATAAGTCGACATTTGTGTAATTACTTTTGCATCATATGTTATGTCTTGATTAATCAATAATGTGTAGAAGTATTTTTTATCGCAATAAGTTATTCATTTCACACATGATTACAAGACGAAGTTGTTTCAATAATTTCTACCAAAATATAAATAGCAAAAGCAGTATACGAAACTTGTAAGCTCATTGCTACAAAAGATCTGTTTCTTTATTTGAATTCTCCAGCTTAAAAAAATAGTATTTCTATACTCAATAACTTTCCTAAATTTTTCTTGAAGCATTTTCTTCAAGACACGTCCAAAAATCAATAGGTTCTGTAAGTCAGGTCTGATATTTTTATCGTTATGGTAAGTCTTTCATGGAAGAAAAAAAAAACTTTAATATTTGCTTCTCTTGAGACATGAAGGACAAAATAAAAGAAAGATTAGAATTATGGAACAATTCTGAAACTTTCAACAAAGGGTGTGAATATGATTTGGATATCGGCTTCAAACCAATGGAACCAAAATCAACATCAGCAATAACATCTGCATTGACACCCAAAATTACACTCACAAATTTGTCCGCATCCATCCACAGAAATGACAACAAGCTTTCCCACACTCACTCGCACTCCCACTCGTTGTATTGGTTCCATGTATTTGTTTAAGTTCTGTATGTCAAAAAAAATTGCATAACCATGACGAAAATTGATGAAACAGTGTCAATAAACACATCTATACAGGAAAAGAAAAATTTCAGAAGACACTCATTTTAACGAATTATACTGTTCGGTAGTGAACAGCAGTGATATCTAATCAACCTGTTTCATCTCTTCTTACAGTACCTGTTCATATTGCGTATAGAAGGGTGTGGGTGTGGGTTAGGCTCTCCTCTTCGTCGACATATTTAATGTACTACCTTTTTGTAATATTTCACTGGATATAGTACAAATTTAATATACTCTTAGAACACATCGGACATTTTTGTAGTGGACTTCTGTTTTACTACGATAATGCAAGAGAAAATAGGTTCAGATGTTTCTAGTCGAAACTCATGGAAGAGGTCTAGTCAAATTTCACGAATTCTACCTGTGTAGAATATCGGAAACTTGAACATTCATCGAAATGTTGAAGCGATTAATATAAACTAAATATTATTCTAGGAAGTTTCAGAGTGTAAACAATTTGTCAAAAGTTTTAGAACTTGAAAAACACAAAGAACACAGTAAAGTCATTATAGTCAAGCAATGATTCGAAGAAAGCAGGTAGTCGTGTTAAAAAGAAAAGGCAAAAAAAAGATTAAAACCGATTTTTGGAGAAATGATCATGGGAGATCGATTAAATACGACAGTTTTATATTAAGTTTGAAGAAATTAATGGTTTTTCACTTATTTCATAGCATGAAATCTATTAAAATGAAACTTTTTACCTAAAATTAAGACAACTGATTATAGATTCAATCAGTTTTAATCTATTTCATCACTAAATAATCTAATTAATTTTGATGGATTCGTATTTTTTATAATCAGAGTTTGTTTGAAGAGCAAAGTCAACAGTCTTTCATAGTTTGAAAGTTTCCATCCTTATGCATACGGAGGAACTTCTTAAATTCATAACACAAGAAAAAAGACATCAAAATTCAGTGTAATCTAGTCTGAATCATGTCCATGATATTGATATAAGTACAGACTAATTATTCTATTATTAATAAAATATGGATTGATGCATATTAAAAGAAGTGATGAATTTCTAATTCTAGACATTCTATTAAAATAACTCTTAAATATATATTCTACGAACGAGAAAATTTCTTCCCAGAGAAAAATCTGCATCGTTTCAAAACTCTTATTCGATACGAAATCATATGCTTATATAGACATGATATTCGTTGTTTTGTTTTTTTCAGATTTGATCTGACGCTTTATTCTGGTTCTCCAGGATAATGGATTCAATATTTGATTGAAATGCATTAATCTGATATTTTCTAGAGGCCATGTTTGGTGTTTTTGCACGTACTATTTTCCTATGGAAATAACAAAATTTCAATGATGCTTTATTGTAAAACAAATTTCTCTACATTTGGCATAATTTTATTAGGTTTTCACGAGAATGTTATGCATATTCTTAAGAGGATATTTCCAACATTTTAGACATATATTAAAATAGGGTGGATGCGTGTGGGTATGGAATTTCTATTCTCCTACCCACACACCCCATTCAGAGCCAAATCGAGACTTTTCTATTCGCTTCGGTTTCACAATAAAAATATATCAATTATTTAATATGGTTTGTACTGTATCTAAACAGTATCCAATATCATGAAGAAGAAGGTAAATACAATAGGAATAGAGTGATAAGAGCATATCACTACTATACGTTCTTATTATTCTTGATTGTCAGACAGCATTATTTATTATGTAGAAAGAATTCCTGATTGATGAAATAAGAAGGTCATATTGGAAAGATTCTTGTATCCTTTACATTCTCATCGGTCTTAAAATACTTATTTTCTTTGTTCAAAAAGAAATCAGTACAGCAAGAACAGTCATACGACTAAACGAAGTATTTATACCTGTTGTTGATGCCGCCAGTGACACGAAAAACGAAACATCATCGCTTAGAAATTTTTTTTTTCTTTAGTTAATATAATGAGCCATTGAATGTTCCATTCATAGGATGCTTATTTTTATGAATTAAATGCAAAGATTTCATGTCGCGTATCATATGTCGATACTCAATTCATCGGCGATTATTTCGCAGTTCACGAAAAATATTTTATTTTTATATGAAATGAATCAGCGATTACAAAAAGAAAAATATAAAAACCGGCTTTTTGATATTGTGTAAGTATAAATAACGATGATTGTAAGGTTTCATATTTCATGGCAAGCAATTGCAATAATGAAATAAGTTTAATTCCAAGTTTGATAAAATTTCAGATTCTTACGCTCTTCTAAATAAACAAAATATTAGTATATTTATTAGAGAAAACATTCAGTCTTCTAAAGTGAATAATAAAGTAGATTTTATTTAAATTCTTTTGAATATCTTGTTTAACTAAACAAAATGATGTCTCGGGAAAAAAACTAACTCTAATCAAGAATTTTAGAAACAGTCGAAATCATGATTTCATATTCTTCAAAAAAAAAGAGAGTTGGGCAGAATCTGTTCAGATTCTACGCTTGAATAGATAGCAGAATTGGATAAAATATCGGAATGTGAAAATTGTCACAGAACTCCTGTTTCTACATCGTATGTTTTTCTAAAGTCCACAAGTAACGTTTGTCGCTACGACTCACTTGACCCTCGACTGTATTGGGCAGATGTATTTTCTGTGAGTACTGATGTGACAGAATTGGTCTATCGATTCTACTCCCGAAAAGCGCCGCAATTTGCTTTCGAATTCTAAATGAAAGAAATCTTTGTCTTTTTGTGAAGTAATTCAAAGTAAAACTCATCTTTCAGCTAGAAACTGTAAAGAAAACCAAATTGCTTATATCCAAGTCGATTTCAATTATGAAACTCTTCGAGTACAATAGATAGTACAGTATTATAAGATGTTAATATATGCTCACAAAGTAGCTATAAGAATGTTTAAATTAAAAAAAAAATTATCCTAGCTATGGCACACAAGTATAATTGATTTATTAGCAATAGTGAACGCATAAATGAGTAGAAAAAGAAGAAATATTTAATAAACATCATTCTATTGCCCATTTTAAAAAGAAACAAACTAAATGACTACACTATATAGTATAATAATACAGCTGAAGCAACTATGAAATAAGTAAAACAGTGAAAAATATTAACAAAAAGAAAAAATGAGATATAATATAAAATCTAGCGCAAGAAGATACAAAAAACTCTAACATTCTTTACCTAGTGGAAATATAGATATTGACAATTGTAAACAAAATTCTGTATAATATAAAGAAAATATTAAAACCACTCAGAAAAACGCTTTTGTTTTTCTGAATATAATTTATCTAGTTTTCTATTTCGGCAAGTTGAGATTTACTTGGTTTGATTAATAAAACCTTGTAATCAAAATGTCGCAAAATGACCAGATCAGCCAAACGTTTTACACGCGATAAAGGTACATAAATTGCAGCAATATCGTCATTTTCATTTGGTAGTTTCAAATCAATTACAACTTTATTTAATGTTTGGCCTTGGCTTTTATGTGTCGTAATAGAATGAGCCGGCACAAGTGGCAGTACACGTCACTTAATTGATAGAATTGCCTTCTGATTTGATTTCAGTTTCTTATCTTTTGGTATTACATCGGCAATGTTAATGCGGAAGGTTTGTTCAATTAAAGGTATTGGAACGAGATTTGGTTGGAGTTGTTCAAGACTGCATTCGATGTTTGATCTGCTAATTTCAACCAATGCATATAAAGGACGGTGAATGTATTTTGTGTTATTTGGAAATGTTTCAGAAAGAACTTCTGTTGACATAGAATCTTCTTCATAAACAAGTTGTCGAAAGATTCCATTCATTCCATTAATAAGACCTAGTTCGATAGCAATATTTTGTGTTAAAATGACAGGCATTCCAGGAACCAAAGGTAAAAGACCCGGTAAATGCTCCGTTTTGCTATCGGATAATTCTAACAATTTTCTAATGAGTGCTGGATCTTCAATTGGTTTGCCTTTGCATGTGTCCTGAGCGACACATACCATGTGTCTTTATCCCATCTCAGTTGCTTTGTGAATTACTGCTTTATTGTTCAATTGCGTTTGAACTTCGTTTCGAAACACAAGAATCGGAGCCTAAAAAAACGAACATAGGAAATTATTGGAAATAGAAAATAAGATTTACTTTGTTCCAAGGTGAATCATTTAGAGAGCCTACGGATGGTTGTCCAATAACTTGTGTCAATAATAATTCATAATCGTCGTAATTACATTGTCCACGACGAAGTCGTTCAAGTAATTGAAGGTATTGTGGGTCTTCCGTACGCATTTGTTGGGTAAGTTTTACGACGCAGTTAATTTGAAGAATTAAGGAACGTGCAACACGTTGTTGAATTTCTTTTTCATTGGGCAATTTACCCGATCTCTTTTTCGATGGCAATGAAAAATCAGTATGTAATGGTGCATCATACACAGGTCGATATTGTAAATAATCACCGAAAAAGAGAACATTTATACCACCAAATGGAATTTGTGGATCGACATGTTTTTCAAAGCAAATGATTCGATTGAGTTTGGCTAATAAATTTAAACCAACCATACTCATTTCATCGATCAATAAATATTCAACCAATCTTCATTCTTTCTCGAGTTTTGAATCATCTGGTTTGATGGTTCGTGGCTTTCCAGAATTACGTTGTTCACCCAAAAATGAATGAATAGTCATACCACCTATTTCAGCAGCAGCGATTTCAGTGTGTGCAAGCTTTCGCATCATCTGCATTCTTTTCGTAACAAGAAAGTATTTACTTATAGCACGAATAAGTTGTGATTTGCCTGTACCACCAAATCCAGGTATGCACATTATAAGTTGACCGTTATTATCGCCTAAAAATACTGTATACTTCAAGTTTTGATAGATTAAGTTATAAAAGTACCTGTACGACAACGGCTGTCACCATCAAGATGACTTGTTATTATCATGAATGCAGCTCGTTGTTCTCTGTTCAATGTAAATTCATCGGCGATAGTCTTTTGAGTTGGAAAGTTCGTTTTGATAGAGATTACTGGAAGAATCGAGCCATAATTTTCAGAATTATATTTATTATAATTATTTGAATCCACCACTGTTACAACGGCATCTTTTGCAGCAAATAAATCTAATGTGTCATCTGGTTTGTCGTAGTTGCCTGTAATCAAACTTCGCCTAGCTCGTTCTTTTTCATTTCTCAATTGTTCTTGCCATTTTGTATTGAGTTGAACAGGTTTAGATGTTGCAGAAACGAATGATAAGAGTTGTCGGTTTGTATTATTAATAAGTTCATTGAAAGATGATTGATCATGTACTGGAACAAATTTTTTATCATTATTTTCAATATTAGTATCAGACTAAATTAATACTTACTGTTCATATGTGTAAATCGTCCGACTTTCTCGACAGCTTCAACGGTTTCTTCAACATATTTATCTTCTGTTGATTTTTTCATGGCATTAATCGCTGTAGTGGTGTATTCATCTATATTGCCTAAACTCCCCCCCAGAATAGAAGGCCACCCCAGAATAGAAGGCCACCCCCATTAGAAGGCCACCCCTGAGTCATATTTGCAAAAGTCACATTAGAAGGCCATGGCTTTCTAATGAATTGTTTGGATATTACATAAATATTCTGTGCTAGTTTTATAAATATCTTAGCATTTTGAGAGATCATGTATGATCTCCACCGCACTCCTGTTTGGTTTTGCTATAAATTTAAAGAGGTATGTTCAATTTCCAAAAGCTGTCAAAACAAAACAAAGTTTAATATGCCTATTTGATCGCTTCAATTCTTTTGCTTTGGTACGATTACATATCTTTTGAATACATATAAAAACTTTTTTGTTCTTTGAAGTATTTGTGGTGCCAGACATCGGATAGGTATACTAATATTTGTTGATTAAATATAATACCTATGTAGCCGATAATGGATGAATAATGGAAAATGATCCATTATTTTCCATTATTTGAAGAAAAACATGAATTAATGCATTATAATTAATTATTTTTTGACTTTTCAATGCATTTCAATGCATTATTTCTAATAATGCTGAAAATGAAGGATAATGCCTAAATTTTCAATGCATTGTAATGCATTATTATAAAAAAAAATGCATTATGATGCGTTGATAAATCAATGTATTGCAATGGATTAATTAAAAATAATGCATTATAATGCATGAAATAGGTTGCATTATCATGTAATTGCATCCATTGCATTTCTATTGTAAAATAATGCATTGCAATGCCCATTATTTCATAAAATCGGCTACATGGGTAGCATTAGCTCAAAAAGTCTAAACAAATTTCAATTTTCAGTTGTCGAGCTAGAAAAACAGAATCAGCAACTAACAAAAAAAAATTGTAATTTTTTACCATAAAAGTCCTATTAGAAGGCCACCCCTAATAGAAGGCCACCCTGAAAAGAGCGATGTGAATTTCCATAATAGAAGGCCATGGCCTTTTATTCTGGGGGGGGGTTTAGTAATTCTAATAAGTCTTCAGTGTCGTCCGCATCATGTTCGCCATCAATATCTTGATTTGCAGGCAAAAGAAAACTATCGATTGCGTCATTATTAGTTTGAGCTTCAGCAATAACTTGAAGTAAATGTTTATTGCGATCTTTTTTACATTCATGTAAAAGTTGAATATTTTCTATGATCTTCCATGAATGGATAGAAGTACGATTTTGTCGAAGTTTAAAAGCTTCTTCCCATGTTTGATTGACGTCACAAAGATCGGTAACAGTACGCCAAGGTACAAAAAGTGTTAGCAGAGCTCGACTATATCGTTTTCGAGTATCGTCACGATCTCGTCGAGGAATTTGTGGACCATATAAAATAGGTACATGATATTCACTGTATTTCATTAATAGATGAGTTATTGTTTGTGGATGTTATTTTTCAAAAGGATAACGTACATTAGTTGGTCGACCTTTTTGATTAACTTGTTCTTCCACTAATGCGTCAGCCTTCGATAAATATTTCACATCGGCTGCATTCATTTTTTTCTTATATAATATACTGACAAAGTCGTATAAACACATATGATTGAGAATGTCGGAACGATATTGATAGTCAATTCTTGTGTTCACAAGTACGTAGTTTTTGTCATTTTCTGTCGATTGTATTTGAAAACATTCTTCTTCGTTGTTTTCATTGTCAATCGTGTCATCATCAAATACGTCATTGTCAGTCACATCTATATATACAAAAAACAATATATATACATGTTTCTATCTAATTACAATATTTTTAATTCAAGTAATCCTCGCTATTTTTCTGATTGGTACGTATGTACAACATACATAACGGTTATACGCTAAACAAATTTTATCATCTAAGATGTTCATGGTATGTAAAGAATGATTCGAAGAAACAAACAAGAGATGTGAAAAATAATCATACGCGGATGAAAAAATTTGAATAACATCGAATAGAACATTTCGAAGATGCATACATAAAGATGAAAGAGAAGCGAGAAAAAAAAATCGTACTGGTTCTCTCTACGACATCTACAGGAAAAAAAGATTTATATATAATGATCAATTTTGATGAACAAAATAATCAATGACTCAACTTTTGGAGGAAATTATCTTTCGTTTCTCTTCTTTTTTTCAATATATTTTATGATCACTTTTCAATAATACTTAGCACTAAACAACCGTATAAAATAAAATAAGATACTGATCATGTGCTGAAAATTTCAATTTTTGTTTGGAGCGTATTTCATTCAATTGCGTTTGTAAATACCGCTCAGTTTGAATAAGATGAAGACCTTGAAACTTATGTGTAGTGTGATGATCATCCCAATTCATAAGATAAGCAGCAACTTGAACTCCAGATAATTCTTGTTGAGAAGCAAGTGAATTATAACAACGTAAAACAAACTTTCGTGACTTTTCAATTGCATTTTCATTATTCGTTTGATGTGAAGAATTCATAATTGATGTAATACTTTTTTGTACAAGAGCAAATGTATCATGAAAAGAGAGACTCATCTTTGTTACATAATCAGTAATATAATAAACAAGAGCCTTTGCATCACTGCCACTCCAAATAAATTTGATATCCATGTTGGATCGACAAGCGGTGATGAGATATTCATTGAAATTATTGATCATTGGATCTGACCGTCG